TCAGCAAACAAGGTATCAACTGAAACTTCAGTTCAGTTCAGTCACTCAGTCATGTCTGACTCTTTGCAACCCCACGGACTGCAGCACACCAGGACTCCCTGTCCATTAACAACTCCTAGAGTTTACTCAAACTCATGTCCATTGAGTCGGTGATGCCATCCAACCATCTCATCTTCTGTCGTCCCCTTCTCCTCCGGCCTTCAATCTTTCCCAGCATCAGGGTCTTTTCCAATGAGCCAGCTCTTCGCATCAGGTGGCCAAAGTATTGGAGTTTCAGCTTCAGCATCAGTCCTTCCAATGAATATTCAGGACTGATCTCCTTTAGGATGGACTGGTTTGATCTCCTTGCTGTCCAAGGGACTCTCAAGAGTCTTCTCCAACACCACAGTTCAAAAGCATCAACTCTTCAGCACTCAGCTTTCCTTATAGTCCAACTCTCACATCCATACATGACCACTAGAAAAACCAAAGCCTTTACTAGACGGACTTTTGTTGGCAAAGTAATGACTCTGCTTTTTAATATGCTGTCTAGGTTGGTCATAACTTTTCTTCCAAGGAGCAAGTGTCTTTTAATTTCATGGCTGCAGTCACCATCTGCAGTGATTTTGGAGTCCAAAAAATAAAGTCTGTCACTGTTTCCATTGCTTCCCCATCTATTTGCCATGAAGTGATGGGACCAGATGCCATGATCTTGGTTTTCTGAATGTTGAGCTTTAAGTCAACTTTTTCACTCTCCTCTTTCACTTTCTTTTTTTTTCCATTTATTTTTATTAGTTGGAGGCTAATTACTTTACAATATTGTAGTGGTTTTTGCCATACAATGACATGAATCAGCCATGGATTTACATGTGTTCCCCATCCCGATCCCTCCTCCAACCTCCCTCCCCATCCCATCCCTCTGAGTCTTCCCAGTGCACCAGCCCCTGAGCACTTGTCTCATGCATCCAACCTGGGCTGGTGATCTGTTTCACCCTTGATAATATATATGTTTCAATGCTGTTCTGTCCTCCTCCTCTTTCACTTTCATCAAGAAGCTCTTTAGTTCCTCTTCACTTTCTGCCATAAGGGTGGTGTCATCTGCATATCTGAGGTTATTGATATTTCTCCTGGCAATCTTGATTCCAGCTTGTGCTTCTTCCAGCCCAGCATTTCTCATGATGCACTCTGCATATACGTTAAATTAGCAGGGTGACAATATACAGCCTTGATGTACTCCCTTCACTATTTGGAACTAGCCTGTTGTTCCGTGTCCAGTTCTAACTGTTGCTTCCTCACCTGCATAGATTTCTCAGGAGGCAGGTCAGGTGGTCTGGTATTCCCATCTCTTGAAGAATTTTCCACAGTTTGTTGTGATCCACACAGTCAAAGGTTTTGGCATAGTCAAAGGTATGACTCAAATCAAAACAGAACTTCCCAAATGATTTGACAGTAAGTTACCTGCAGTTATTTATAATGAAAGAATTTAGCATGGCTCTTATAGAACTTGTGGTCTGAAGCTGAACTGAACGCTGGTGAGCCCGTGAGAATAGGTTGGAAGCAAAGTACACACTTAGATAATACAGTCGTTGCTGTGGTTCACCCGAATGTGTGAGTATCTTTCCAAATTATCAGTCCTAAGCTGCAAAATTTATGTTGGGGAGATACTCCAGCTTAGGACTAGACGACAGCAACTGGGCAGGCTTAACCGCTCCTTGAGGCCACACACGAGATCCGACAACACAGCTCCTCAGCAGGCAGGCAGCCGTGCCTTCTATTCACTCTATCCGTGCATCTCCTCTATCAGTTCATACAGTCAACAGATAATAAATGAATGAGGAGGGGAGCTTAAGCTCTTTAAAATGTGACACCCACATAACAGTGGAATGCGGTGAGCCCATACTGAAAAAAAAAAGGCTATTGAAAAACATCAAGAAAACTGGGATGGACTGTAAATTAAATTTTAGAAAAAGTCTATCAGTGTGATATGAATCTAGTGACTGAACTGTGGTTATCTAAGGTAAGCCTTGTTCTTAGAAGTAAACAATTGGGTATTAGGAGGTTCAGGAGTATAATTTATGAAACCTATTCTCAAATGATACAGCAAAACAGATCAGACAGATATAAAGATAATGATGAAGCAAATGTGTAACACATTTATTGGTGAATCTGGAAAAAGGGTATATGGAGTTCTCTCTACTACTCTTACAACTTTTCCATAAGTTTGAAATTGCTTCAAAACTAAAAGGAATTAAAATGAACTAGCTTAATTTATCCTCAACATCAAAACCTAAAGGAAAAGCAAGTGAGAAAGGGAAACAACTCTATACTGTGTCATTATGTTTCTGAGCCAGAGAGAGCGCTGAACATTTTACCAAGGTCATTCTACAGAATCCAAACAGTTTGTGTTTTGAGGCAATCGGGCTGGCTAGTCACTGAACTCCACAGTTTTGTAGCTCTGTCACTGTATTCTCTCCATCTTCTTGAGTCTCAGTGTCCTCCTCTATGAAGTGGAGATAATGCTGCCAAGAGCACAAGATGGATGAGATGATTAAATGAGAGACTAATATCAAGTGCTGAGCACCTCATCTGGATGCCGCTAGCTGAGGGCTGGGAGACAAGCCTCTACGGGGCTGTGAGTTTCTGCAGGTCTCATGCAAAACCCAAGCTGCTCCTTGTCCTGGACCAGCGTTCCAAGGACGTTTGTATGACACACAGCTCTGAGAGACGGAGACAGTGCTGCGCATCAGAATAAAGGGGGACAGGCCTGCCGTCATTACAGGAGTCTCAGGGCCCGCTCCTAGGGGACACACGTCGTCTGACCCTCCGCTCAGGCCCTCTGGAAGAGCTGGAGCTTGGGGAATCCACGCAAGAAAATGTTGATGCTCTGGCTGCTACTTTTGCTGGGAATAATGAAATAATGTAATACTTTTCTTTCTCTCAGGGCTCTTATGTTTTCTGCCACCGTCCATGAACTGTGGCTGACTAACTTGTAGGGTAAAATCACAAACTCTTCACAGTTTTCAACACTAAGCCCTCTGTGTTAATATTACATCATTAAAGCTTATCAGTAGCCCTGTAAAGTTCAGCAAAACACTGCATGGTACAAGTAAGGTATTCCATTATCATCATCATCAACAACCCTTGCAATAAACTAGAAATCAATACCATCATCTGATAGCTGACAGATTAATTAAAAGCTGCCAAGAGTAAATCTGTTACATTAATGAAAGGACTGGAGTTTGAAATCTTTGCACTTTAACCATGTCATCTCACAGTTTTAAAATTATGAACTCATTTGGAGAAGCTGAAAAGTTTATATTACATCCCAACATGTATATTTCAGGCACTTTTCTGATCTGGGGGAAAAACAGTGAAGAAAACATGCTCTCTGTCTTCATGACACTTATAACATACACAAAAATAAGTAAAATATGACAAAATAATGAACTCATAAGTGTTACGACAGAAGCAGACAGGGACTGATAGAGAATAACTGGAGGATGTATTCATCAAACTATAGGTTGTCAGTCGGGAATAAATTCGGTGAGTTCCAACCAGCATTTTGGGGGGAAAATGAAGCAGTACAGAATAAAAAAGGATGCATACAGATTACAAACTATGGTTCTGTGCAACTTCCATCTAGTATAGGAAGTCATAGTACAAAGTGCATTTCCTCAAGGCACAGGGAATAATCTATGCAATCCGAATGTGATGGCAATGGAAAGTACTTACTAGGTTGGAAAACAAGAAAATTACAGGGTGATTACAATCCTATAGAAAGAAGGGCTAGAGTGGCATGAATTACTGTTGGAAAGAAAGATGTTAAGGTTCTGACAGTGAGTTTGTGTAGTTTTTTAAACAGGTAAGTGATCTGATTTATGCTCTAGAAGTCACTTTTGTTGCTACAGAGAATGGATTGGAGAGAGGGCAAGAATGGAGACAGAAAGACCCAGCAGAATGCGGCTGTAAGTAGCTGATGCAGGTGACAATGGTAGTTTGGCTTCGGGTCGGGGAAAGAAGGAACAGCAGCAATGGGAGAAGAGTGGATGAATTCAAGATATTATTTTGAAAACAGAATCAAAAGAACTTGCTGAAGTAGGCATCAGAGGTAAACCCTGAAGAATCAGTCATACCCAAATACTGTGGTTTCATGAGCATGCCACGCTCTCTCATGCATCCACGGGCATGCTCTTCATGAAAAATCCTATCCCCTCAAGATCCCACTCCTCAGTTAGTATACTTCTACTCAACCTCTCCACAACAACACCTTTTCCACCAAGGCTTCTCTGACACTAACAGGGCTTCTCCATATTCCCTTAGCATTTCACACATGGTTTTAATACAGTGATACTGCACTGCAGCAACCTGTTTATACAACTGTTTCTCAAGTTACTCTGGAGCCATGCCAGGAAAGAACCCATATTCCATTTACTCTCAGCTTTGGGTCTGAGGTGCTTAAATCCTTCCTTCTCATCTTTGGTTTGGCTGCCTCTTTTGCCCCTGCACCCCTCAAGAGGCAAACTTTTCCAGGAACAATGTGCCTCAGAATCAAGAAAAATAGGGAGTTATATTTGGAGTTACCAAAAATAACGCTAGGACTGGCAGCCAAAATGCGAGAGAAATGACTAGTTTTGAAGTTAACTCTTTTCAAACGGACATTCAGATCCATCATCAACTACACTAAGAGAACGGATCACTGACTTCTAGAGGGTCTAGGCATGGCCCACTGACTTTCTTTCCAGGTAAAGCACAGTGAGCTGCGGGGCGGTAAGCAGCGAGCGAAGCAATGTGCGGCTTTCCAGGCTTTTCACCCTGAAAACTGATCTGGGCCGCAGGCTCAACCCTCGACGCGGCTTGCCTCGGCCGCTCCAGCACCCCCTGAAAGCCGAAGGCAGGCGGGAAAAACGAAGAGGGTATCATCAGAACCCGCGCGGCCTCCCGGCGACGAGGGGCGGGCTCGCAGCGGTGAAAGGGGCTTGGTGGCTCAGGGGTCCACCATGTGCCAGTTCCCGGGCCCGTACCTGACTGGCGATGGACCTGCGGAAACCGCACGCCATGGCTTACTCCACGAAGCGGCTTCAGCTGGAAGGTCCAGGACTTCGCTCCTTCCTTCTCTGCACGCCCCGCCTCCGCGCGCCGGAAGCCCGCCCCGACGGGTGCTGCCAGCCAATCAAGCAGCAGCGTGCCCGGCTACTGACCTCTGCCCCGCTGCCGCGAGGGAGCGCGGGAAATCCCGAGTGCGTCTGGCGTTCTTCGGGTGGCTGGAGCCATGGCCACCTCTTCGGTGTCCAAGGTATGTGGGGGCGGGCGCCCACTAGGACTCCATAGCTGCCTCATTCTCCTGTGGAGGAGGGATGAATCGGAGGTTACGTTGTCCAGTTCTCCTGGCTCGAGGGGAAGGAGCGGCGGGCGGAGCTGAGGCATCTCTGCCCTGCGTCTAGTGGAGGCCAACTTTGCTTGGGGAGCGAAAACGGCGAAATGCCTTAGTGTTTCGCCTCGGAGGAGGTTTTAAGTTTTGTTTTGTGGAGGTCGGATCCCGGGAGGATGTGCCCTAGTCTGCCCTCTTTTTTCCTTCTCTTGTTTATTGTGCGCCAAACGCTGTTAGGTACCGAGGTACAAGTGGTAGACAAAATAGACGCAGATATTTTCATCATTACAGAAAATTCTTTCAGTGCATCTTTAGACACTTAAGTGCCGCTTAGTAATATTAGGAGTACAGCTGGAAGCTCCTGAAAGTTAAGTTATGTGATAAACCTGTGAATGCAGATATAGTTGCAAAGACTTTTCTTCCGTAGAAACTAAATTAATGAAGGATATACCATGGATTTAATTTTTAATTTTGATTAAAACTACGTTAGAATAAAATTATGAGACTCAGTACTTTGCAAGACTACATATTGGGGAAAAACTACAAACCATAGGATTTAAGTGTACTGAAGTTTGAGCGACTGTGATGCTAGATGCAAATGCCAGAAGAGCTGTCACTGCTAGCATTTTTTTTGGGGGGGGGGGGTTGATGCTGTTTGTATTTTGCCCTGGTTATAAAGTTATAAGTTTTAAAAAAGTTTTATTGGGAGTATAGTTGTTTTAAAATGTTGTGTTAGTTTCTGTTGTTCAGTTGCTGAGTCCTGTCCTTGTACAACAAATGAATCAGCTATTAGTATACATAAATCCCCTTTTTTGAATTTCTTTCCTGTTGGTTCCATAGGTTTTGTGTGGTCTGTCCCCTAATCCTTTTTGTTGCTTAAGCTTTTCCTATTTTTGTATATCTTGCAGGACTGTGAGAGGTTTATGGTTTTTTCTTTTTTAAGGAAAGCATTTATGACATAACAGATGCTTGTAATGATATAATTATGAAGGACACCTTGTGTAAATAAGAATCTTTAAGAACTGTTTCATTGGTTTATGGAATTGCCATCTTCCTTTTTTCTTTAAACTTCTCTTTCCTTGTCATGTTTTCTGGCTGTTGGCTTTCCTCCCGTCTTCTTCCATCTCCAGCACCATTTCTTGATTAGTAGTTCAAAGTGAACAATGATATTACTCCCACTGCCATATATTAGGATCCATTCCTAGGGCTCTTCATATCTCACTCCTTCATAGTTCCTTTTCCTGCCCCCAAATTGCAGGTGGCTATAGAAAGGAGGCAGTGACAAGCTTGCCATGGCACCAAAAGATTTTTCTTAAAAAAAAAAAACACACAAAATATTAAAAATACTTGTGTATTTTAAATTGTTCCATTAGTTGCAGATACAATTGTTCAAGACACAATTCTTATTTTGGACCCTGCTTCCTAGGTAGCTCAGTGGTAAAGAATCTGCCTTCTAATGCAGGAGACATGGGTTCAATCCTTGGGTCGGGAAGATCCCCTGGAGAAGGAAATGGCAACCCACTCCAGTATTCTTGTCTGGGAAATCCCATGAAACAGAGGAGCCTGGCAGGCTACTGTCCACGGAGTCATAAAAGAGTCAGATACAACTTAGTGACTCAACAACAATTCACATGGCCAGTTTATGTTTGTACAGCAGTCCTTGGATCTATCCTGAGATGGCTTTTCCTAGGTATATTTCTTTCATTTTTCATCGAAATGGAAATCTTGAAGAAGCTGTCCATGATACAGCTTTAGGATTGTAGAACAAACATAGGACCAGCAGCTTGGGGCCTGCGTATCACTAGTCAAGTAATATGAAACTCAGTGTAGCTAGGGAATCACCAAAAAAATTATTTGACAAGCATTCATCCATTTTTGTATACTGATTGCCTAATGTATATGTTAACACTACCCTAAACACTGGGGAGACAGTTATGAGTTATAAATATTATGAGTTATAAATGCAGTTATGAGTTATAAATGCAGTCTGTACTCTGAAGGCACTTACTAACTGGGGAGTCACCCATAAATGGCTGTCTTACAGAGTGAAAATAAAACAAAGCAAAATAAAGATATGCAAGTACTGTGAGATATTAGGGGAAGGAATAATTCTTCTGATTAGAGAAATTGGGAAAGGGTTCCCAAAGCAGGTGAATTTGAGTCTAACTTTAATGGATAAATGAATAAGGATTTTTTCAGATGAAGAAAGATATGTAAGGTGAATTAGTAGCCAGGATTGTCTGCGTCCTGCCAAGGTTCTAGATACTTGGAATTTAATTAAATAATATTTCTTTAGAGATGGGAAGGTGTCCATATTTTTTATCATCTTAATGTTCATATTACTGTTCTTTTTTCACTAGGTTTTATAAAAATGGAACTTTAACGGGTTTAAATTTCATCAGTTTTTATTTTCTTTGTCTCTTAACATTAGGTCTCAAAGAGTATAAATCAAAGAAGAGCTTCCCGTGGGAGGAAGGAGAAAGAAGTGTATAATCCCTTGTTGTTTAAGAATTTTCCTTCTGTAATTCAGATTGAAGAAAGATGCTTTCTTAGCACTTCACAGAAATGCCTTAAAAACATTTCTTGATGTTTGTCCCTTGAATACGATGTTGCTCAGACTTGCCTGCTCCTGGTCTGCCTGGGCTTTACGCCGCTTTCTCTGTCTGTTTTGTAGGGTTGCTTTGTGTTTAAGCCAGACTGCAAGAAGAGAAAGATCTCTGTGCCAATAGGTAAAATATCTTAATATGAGACTTGTTAGATTTCCTCCCTCAAGTCTGAACTAACCTAACTCTTAATGAATTAGTAATTCTTTTGCCTAACCTTGCTTCACTTACCGTGTTGATACAGCAGTTATGTTTGAAGGCATAGGACAAAGTGGTAAGGGCACTGCCCTGGGCTCTAATCTAAAAGAGGATCCAAATGTACCTTCAGAAGACAAATTGAAATTTCCTTCTAAGGGTTACTGTTCTTCAAAACAGATTGTCTTAAAAGTCCCAGTGATTTCTTGGAATGAGGTAGGGAGAGTTGACTGCAAAAATGCCACAGGGATTTTTCTGAGTGATGGATATGTTCTCTGGATAGGATGGTTACTTAAGTGTACACCTGGGTTAGGACATAGCAAACTGTTAAATGGGCATATTTTCTTATTTGTAAGTTATACTTCAATAAAATTAAACTATTAAAAAAAATACTACCTTCTTCTACTTATATCCAAATATCTGTTTAGTGGTCAAGTTAGAAGCCTTGACTACTTCAAACAAATCAAGATGTTGTTATCAGTCAGAAAATGTTTATGGGACTGGTTCTCAATTGGGGCTGCAGATGATAATGAGTTATTTTTATGTATTTATTTAGTCGCTCTGGGTCTTAGTTGTGGCACACAGGATCTTCACTTGCCACATTTGAATTCTTAATTGCAGCATGTGGGATCTAGTTCCCTTAGAAGGGATCCAGCCTGGGCCCCCTGCATTGGGAGCACAGAGACTTAACCAGTGGACCCCCAGGGAAGTCCCAAGATTAGAGTCACTTGAGGAACTTAAAAAAAAAAAAAAAACGGACTATTTTTTCAGTATAATTGTAGATTCATGTGCAGCTGTGAGAAAGAGTGGAGCGAGTTCCCTTGAGCTCTCAGTTATCCCTGTGGTAGCGTGTCTCGTGCCTGTAGTACAGTTTCACAGCGAGCACGCTGACAGTGGTGCAGCCTGTTGCCCTTATTCATATTTCAACTTGGGGAGCTTCTTAGAAACACTGATGCCCAGACCCTATCCCAGACCAATTGAATCAGAAGCTTTGGGAGTGGGACCCAGGTGTTAGTATTTTTTAAAAGCTCCTCTCAGGCATATCGAGTATTTCCACTTAGTATTCAGTACTATGAAGATTCATTCTGATGGGAAAATGATGTGCAGTTAAGTATACTCATGCACTAATTTCGTATTAAAAAAACTGGACTATCCTGTTGTTTGACTAAGAAAGTAAACAGCTCAAATACATAAAATTGGATTTTTCTAAATCATCACAGAAAGTAGACCTTAAAAGTGTTAATCCTTCAGTTTGAGACTAGCTGGGCGTCCCTGGTGGCTCAGTGGTAAAGAATCCACCTGCAATGCGGGAGACTGGGGTTTGATCCCTGGGTGGGGAAGATCCCCTGGAGAAGGGAATGGCTTCCCACTCCAGTATCCTTGCCTGGGAAATCCTGTGAACAGAGGAGCCTGGTGGGCTACAGTCTATGGGGTGGCTGCGAGTTGGACACGACTGACTGACTGACACACACACGTGTTGATTTGTTTAATCCTCTCAGCAAACTGTGAAATAAGTGTTAAACTGTTAATTCCATTAAAGTATGTGAGGATACTTAGACTAGAAAGAACTTTCTCAGTGATAGTGCTAGCAAGTGGCAGAGCTGTGATTTGAAATCAAGCTGATTGCAGAGCCTACAGTCTAACCACTACTTAATACTGTCTCTCATATATGAGGCAAATTTTTGCTCGGAACTTTTTGTGTTTAATTTCAGCTGTAAGTTACTAAGATTTGTTTAAAGATTTTTAGTATTAGTAAAGCTAATATGTATAATTGTATAGTTTGAACTTTGAAATACTTGAGGTGTTTTTTTTTTAATTTTGGCATGTATGTGCTGATTAAAGGCCAACAGATAGTGTTTTAATATGAAACTCTTAGGGGGAATTGACCCTG